TACCAACAACCAAAGCCAAAAAGGAAGAAGACTTCTATCAAATTTTGCAGCTGGAAATCAATCGAACATGCAATCAAGATGCATTAATAACAATTGGTGACTGGAATGCAAAAGCTGGGAACAAGGAAGAAGAATTGGGAGTCAGAAAGCATGGACTTGGTGACAGAAATGAGGGTGCAGATAGAATGATAAAATTTTATACAATCAGTGATTTGTTCACTGCAAATAACTTTTATAAGAAACAAACGGTGACTATACAAATGACTTTCACCTGATGGTCTGCACAGGAATCAGATTGATTATATACATCTGTGGAAAGAATCACTGGTGAAGCTATCAGCTGTGAAAACTAGCCCAGGTGCTGACTGAGGAACAGATTAACAACTACTCATATGCAAGTTCAAGCTAAAACTAAAGCTGGTTAAATAAAATTCACAGGAACCAAAATTTCACCTTGAGTATATCCTACCTGAAATTTCAAAACCAACTCAGGAACAGGTTCTAATGAACGAAGACCTGATGAGTTGTGGAAATATATAAAAAAAAAAATCATCCATGAAGAATACAAAAGATTATTACAAAGACAGAGGAGGAAGATTGAGATGTATGCCAGAAGAGACTGTGAATATTCCACTAGAGTGCCGAGAAGCCCAAGGAAAGGGAAGAAATTAGGAAGGAGTTGAACAGAAGATTTCAAAAGGCAGCTCAGTAAAACATGACAAAGTATTATAATGAAATGTGCCAAGACTTGGATTCAGAAAAATCAAAAGGGCCAAACACTGGCTTCATTTCTCAAGAGGGAAGGAGGGAGGGAGGAAAGGAGGAAGGGAGGGAGGAAAAGAAATCAAGCCTCAAATTGGAATACGTAAGGGCAGAATATTGAATGATCCGGGAAGCATTAAAAGAAGATGGAAGGTGTACACTGAGTCACTGATTCTCCATGTTATTCTTGTGTACCACTGAGTTAGAGCTAACCAATAGCTGGCCCTCCCACGGGTGTTTCAGAAGATACTGCCATCCTTCGCCTGCAGAGCAGCTCGTGGCTTTGAGACGCTTGCCTTCGGCATTGTGGTAGGGTTCCTTACCACTTTAGGCCACCCACCAGAGCTCCCTACAGGTTTATTTAGCAGGAAAAATCTCTCAAATACATTAGAGTTCTTGCTGTCCACGACCGCCAGGAAATCTCTCAAATACATTAGAGTTCTTGCTGTCCACGACCGCCAGGTGGCACCGCCCGGCTACTCCTGGAAGAGGGGTGCCACTGACCGACCGGAGGTGGGGGCGGGTCCAGCGCGGTTTGCGGGACTGCAGCCCCGGCGGGCGGCGTGGGCTCGCGCGGTACTGGAGACTCCATATAGTGTGTCTGGTGGTTCCCAAAGTGCCCAGGGAGCTGGGGCTCCTGTCCGTCCTCCTAGCCATAGGGAGTCCCACCCCGGGCTGGGCGTCAGGCGTCCTTTCCGAGCGGGGACTTGGGAGCTAGGGAAGGAGCGGGGAACTTCAGTGCGGAGCTGGGCACGGGCACCCTGGAAGGGTGGGCGCTGAGAGCTAGCCTAAGAGGCCGGGAACCTCGCTGCGGGGTCCAAGGACAGCGGGCAGGGTCGGGGCTTCCGGAGAGGGCGGGCGCTTGGAGCTGGCAGAGGGGCCTGGAACATTGGTGCGGGAGCCCAGGGACAGCAGGCCGGGGCGGGGCCTTCCCGGCCGAGAGGGCGCGGCGGGAGCAGGCACCGCCCGCTGCGGGTGGAGGGAAGCCTCAGACTAGGGAACCTGGGACGCTAAAGCGGGGCGGGGACAGGCTATTCGGGGCCCCACCTCTTCCCGCTCCTCCAGGGCCCTCGCCCCTGACCCGGGACGGCGCCCCCGCGAGCCGGGGCGGGGCCTCTGGGTACTGGTAGAAAAGGCTGTGGACTGGGCAGCTTAGGTGACCGCCGCGGCCCCAACGGCAGAGCCTGGCCATTGCCATGTGCGCCGCGCTCTTCAGCCTGGACAGCCCGGCCCGCAGCGCGCTCTGGCCAGCGGAGCCCGCAGCCTTCTATGAGTCGAGCCGCTCTGTGAAGCCGCTTCGGGCTGCGCCACCGGGGTGCCCTGCAGAACCTGGCAGTGCTGCGTCCGCCATGTACGACGACGAGAGCGCCATCGACTTTAGTGCCTACATCGATTCCATGGCGGCCGTGCCCACGCTGGAGCTGTGCCATGATGAACTCTTTGCCGACCTCTTCAACAGCAACCACAAGACGGGCGGCGCGGGCGCGGCAGGAGGCCTGGAGCCCCTGCCCGGCGGCCTCGCGCGCCCCTCAGCCCCGCGCGCGGTCAAGCGCGAGCCCGACTGGGGCGACGGCGACGCAGCCGGCTCGCTGCTACCCGCGCAGGTGGCGGCGTGCGCGCAGACCGTGGTGAGCCTGGCTGCACAGCCCACGCCGCCCACGTCTCCCGAGCCCGCCCGCCACAGCCCCGCGCCGCCACGCGACAAGGCAGCCAAGAGGGGTCCGGAGCGCGGTAGTCCCGAGTACCGGCAACGACGGGAGCGCAACAACATCGCCGTGCGCAAGAGCCGGGACAAGGCCAAGCGGCGCAACCAGGAGATGCAACAGAAGCTGGTGGAGTTGTCTGCGGAGAATGAGAAGCTGCAGCGGCGCGTGGAGCAGCTCACGCGGGACCTGGCCGGCCTGCGGCACTTCTTCAAGCAGCTGCCTGGCATGCCTTTCCTGGCGGCCGGGGCGCCCGATGGCCGGTGACGCCGGCCGCCCACAGACTCGCCAACGACCCATACCTCAGCCTGACGGGCGGGGCGGGCCAGGCCCACGGGCACGCTGGCCTGAACTGCACCAAAGCTAGGACTGGTAACTCTCCCCTAAATTATTTTTATAATGGTGACTTTTTCTACATCTTACTCTTATGGATGCAGCTAAGGTACATTTGTCAACGTCTCGTCTCAAGCCAACCCTTTTTATTGTAACTGAAAGGAAAAGACTGAGCATGCTCACCTTTTTTTATGAATTTTTACAATATTTGTAAGAATAAAGCATTTAGAAGCAGCCCTGCCTCCGGTGTTACAGTGACCCCTGCACTCAGGCGGCAGGGATGGCCATGGTGTGTGCAGTGGGTATAGCCTGGGGAGGCTTTGGGACAAGGACAGAGCCCTTGTGGGGGACCAGTGGACTCGGTGTGAGTTTGCCTGAGGTCTGGGCAGCTGTGGCTGCATGTGGGAGGTGGGCCTGGGCCAGGAGTGAGTGGACAGGGGCCTCCGAGGGATGGTGGCAGAAAAGGGCCTGGTTGTCCAAAAGCCTGTTGCATCTCTGAATTCAAGGGACTTTGCTTTCACTTTCCTATCTTGCGAACAAGATTATTTTTAAAGTGAGTACAAATACAAAATACTTGTGAAGTGGGTAAAAACAAGACACAAAGCAACTTAAAAGTCGTACATCTTACCAATTATTGTAATATTTCAAGATTTATCTTAGCATAAAAGTATGCCTTTCTTCCCAGACACATTTTTTTAGTCTAAACCACTGTGTACGTTAGGTAATAACCACAGATTGGTAAATGATATTGCTATAAGGAAGGACACGCATGAAAAGTCTTTATTGTCCAAATGAAATTCATAGTTTTATGCCAATTTAAATCTCTGCCAACACAGCAAAAGATAGCCATGGTCTTAGCAACATATGAATAAGGGGTTGTCTTTAATAGTACATGACCTACCACAAGGTGTACTTGAGCCTGTGTAATCTTTGCTCTCTGTACATTACACAGCTTGATTAAACAGCTCTGCTGTGCAGCGAGCTACCTAGATCTCTAGTCGGAATAGCTGTAAATCACACCGGTTAACTTATCTAAACTTTATGGGTAACAGTTTCACCTGTGACATAGTTTTCTGCCACATTAAAAAAAAAATTGATCTGAAAAGTACATAGGTTGACCATTTATTGTGGGGTACTATTAAAATAGAAGACAAAGGTTATAGCTTTCAAGGATACGTTTTAGGGGAACATTTACAACATAGTATAAGGGGGAAAAACCAAACATGCTCAGTCATAAAATTTCAAATGTTAGAATTACAACTAAACAATGTTGATCTTTTAATATTGTTGACAAAATATACACCTTATATTTGTAGATAACCACAGGAAGTAATAAAAAATATAAAATTATAGGAAACATTTATTATTTGCAAAACACCATTTTACTACCATTTGCCCCAGAAAAATCTGAGTAAAGATCATGAAATACATTCACTCTGTCCATTGTTAGCCACCCACCCACCTCCAAGCACTCTTGCGAAGTTCACAGATGCCCAGACAGCACAGGGTGGCTGGCAGAGGCTACCCCTGCGTGCAGGAGCTGAACTTCCTCCAGTCCAGTGAAGCTTGTTGGGTAGCTGGCTGTGGACCAGACGAAGCAGCTCAGTGGCCCTACCTCCTTCCCGAGGACACTCTTCACTTCATAACTCTGCAGTGATAAAAGCATTCTGGTTAAAACAAACAGAGCTAGCCCTGGACAGTCTGTTCCAAACAACAGCACCAAAGAGCCAGCGTGGAGGAGCTCCTCCCCAGGACATGACCTTCTGCTGCTCAAATGGTGAAAACAGCATTGGCAAGGAGAAAAAACAAAAAAACAAAAAATCAAACCCTGTGATTATGGTAAATGAGTAGATGGTGGATTCTGATAATCGAGTTTAGTCTGACACAATGAAAAACAGAAAAGCTCTGTGTTGGAGAAGGTAGTCCTCGGAATCTCACTGCTGTGGGAAATAACTCCCAGGTGACTGTCCAGTGGGTTTCCGAGGCTGTAAATAACATGGGGCTTGTCCATCTCTGTCCTGAGGAGCAGGTGGTGGGTAGAGGCAAACCGCCAGAGAGGCACGGCCTTTGGGTCAGGAGTGCAAGTCCCTACACCACCAGAACTCCCTAGCTGTAGAGAAAGAACTAGGGAAGTAGCTAGAGGTTGGTGCTGGGCACACCACTTAGCTGTCTCCGACTTCCCTTGGACCACTTCCCGAATCTAGCAACAAAGGACTTCCTAGAACTTTGCCCAAAACTTCCCTTCTTAATAGGCCGTTTCTTCTAAAGTTACACTGGGCTCAAGACCTCTTCACATATAGTAATGCAATTAAAGCTTTTTCTGGATGAGTATTTTATGGTTACTACTTAATCTAGGGTAAGTTTCATTTTCTGCTGGAACCCCAGGGCATAGGGGCCTGAAGTATACTGTCATCCCAAGGGGTGCCAGGGTGTGAAGTATTCTCAGTGGAAAGCCTCTTCCTATGTGAGTGGGCTGAAAATAAAGGGAGACTCAACAGCATTGGAAAAATCAGTACCCACCAACTTATGGGAGATGAAGCAGGGAAGGAACCATGTTCTTCCACAATCTGATTCTGCTGGCACTTTGTGGGCATATCAGGGCACCACTGTTGTCTGGTCACACACCTACACAGCAGGGCACCGCCTGGGGAGGGGTCCTTATCCTACACTGTCTGGTTCAGTGACAAGCTCTACAAGGGAGTGCTGGGGGAGGGCCTGCTCAGGGAAGGACTCCAGCTGGGCCTTGCTGGCTCTCAAGTCACAGAAACTAGTCTGTGAGTGAGGGGTCATGGAGGGCCTAGGCCAGAGCACTGGAGGGCCTGACTATCAGCATATGCAGAAGTGACTCTGCCCGGCCCAGAGCCACATGATTGTGCTGAGGCCAACAAGGGTGGGCTGTTGTGGGTCTGCCTATCAGAAGGCATGGCCCACCAAGAAGCTGAGATAGCTATTCTATAGCAATAAATATCAGGATTGGGGTGGCCTCTGAGCCTAGCCGGAGGTCCACTCATCATGTGACTTTGGTCTCCCGTCTGTTAGAAAGCATGGTGTTAAAAACCTATCTTAGGGTGAGCTCTGGTGGCCTAGTGGCAAGAAGCTGCAACTATAGTCTCAGAGGTGCACGGTTCAAATCCACCAGATGCTCTGCTCGAGAAGGAGGAACAGTCTCCTCCTGCACCAGTCAGATCTGATTTGACAGCACACACACACACACAAAAAACCCAAATAAAATAAATATATTAAAAAAAACCCTGTCTTACGTAATGTGACTAATAACAGTCCAGAGAGCTCTGGTAGCACTGTACTGCCAACACAAAGGTGTGCAGTTCAAGTCTACCACCTGCTCCATGGAAGAAAGATGGGCAGGCTCCTCCTGTGCAATTAACTGCCTCTGAAATCATGCTGGAAGGTCAGTTATGGGCCGGTTCTGACTTGATTATACACAACAACCACATCTCCAACTTCTGGTGACCTAGAGGTAAGAAGCTGCACTGCCAACTCTAAGGCATACAGTTTGAATCCACTAGTCCAGTGGGGGAAAGATGAGCCATGTCCTCCTGTGTGATTTAAAGCCTCAGAAAACCCACTGGAGGGTCAGCTATGAGTTGGTTCTGACTTGTTGACAAACAACCACCACAACAGTAAGAGTTCTGACTTCCTTAATAAAAATAAAAAAGAATTAAAGTTGGCAGTTAATTAAAAAAAGAAAGATTAACATTGGTAGTTGTGTAATAGGGCACTCTGGTGGTTTAGTGGTAAAGAGTTGTGCTGCCAACCCAAATACACGCAGTTCGAATCCATCAGCTCCTCTGCAGGAAAAGTTTAAGCACTCTCCTCCTGTGTGATTAATCATATGGTACATATCAACAAGAACAACAACAGCAGCAACAGTGGTGTTGTATAGTGAGGATTACTGGTTAAGATTGGTGATGGTGGTTGTTGAGTTTTGTCGAGTTAGAACCAACCCATAGCTGACCTGTCAGTGGGTTTGCAGAGGGTTTATTTTTTTAAATTTTTTTTTTTTAATGTGTGTACCGTCAAATTGGATCTGACTGGTACAGGAGGCTATTGTTCCTCCTTCTTCAGCAGAGCATCTGGTGGATTTGAACCGCTCACCTCTGGGATTGCAGTGCAGTTTCCTGACACTAGGCCACCAGAGCTCACCTTTGCAGAGGTTTTAAATCACACAGGAAGAGAATGCTCATTCTTTTCCTTTGGAGCAACTGGTGGATTCGAACCGTGCTTGTGGGATTACAATGCAGCTTCTTACCACGAGGCCACTAGAGCTTCCTCAAGATTGGTAGGAGATAAATCTAAAGGCAATTGACTCTACAGTGTTAAAGATCACCTCTGGGGCCTGGCTTCTGCTATAATACGGACAGAAATTCAGCTGGGGCCTTTCACATAGTCATTCAAGAGAGCTCATTATGAATCCCGAGGATATATGGTAAGGACTCAGCACCATGGATGGACAGTGCTGAGGACCAGAAAGCAGGTGCGGATTAGGGGCTGGAAGGGCAGAGGAGAGCTAGGCTGGTGGGCCTGGGATGTTAGTCTGTCCAAGGCTGACTGTGTTTCTCATGCTCATTCAGGGTAAAAATCTGGAATTCTGATATTTTAAAGTTAGTCATTAGTCATTTCTTTTAAAAATACCATCCATAAGTTTTTTTTCTTTAATAGTCAAGAAACGCACTCCAAATCCTGCTGTTAAAAGGTTACTGCTAGGACCTGACTGGAGTGGTGACTGACTGGTCCTCTCTGCACGGGACATCGGTGCCTGCGTTCACCTTCATGGTGCCATGGCATCAAACGCTGGTCTATCTTGACAGAAACAGAGCCCATGCTCGGGGGCGGGGGGAGGGGAGTTAGCTTTTTTATTTTATTTTATTATTTTCTGTGCGTGTACCGTCAAATTGGATCTGACTGAGCATCTGGTGGACTTGAACTGCATATCTCTGGGATTGCAGTGCAACTTCTTGCCACTTGGCCACCAGAGCTCCCTGGAAGTTAGCTTTTTATAAAAAGTCCTAAATGATCCTTTGGCTTTGATGAGGTAAATTCTCACCCAGAAAACCAGCAGAGCCCAGCAGAGTAACGAGGGCTTTGTCCACAGCGAGGCCGTGAGCCTGCTGCTCTGCAGGTTCCCAAGGTCCGGCCTAAGTGCACCCCTCCCCAGCTCCTGGACCCTCTCATGTGCAAAGCTGGATGGGATCTGCGCTTACTGATGCATGAACCTCTAGGATCAGAATGCAACCTCATTCCATGTCTATTGCCCTGACACCAAAACACGTGACACACATGCTCATGTGTATGTCCACGAGCTAGAGGTCTTTGTAGGTAGAGTTTTATGTTACAGAAGCATTTTAGTTAAGACATGAACTAGGTGGGAAGAACAGTCAGCCTCAGCTAAAAGAAAGCCAGGTAAATGGAGGAAAGCTTCTGCCTTGGCCTCCTCTTGGGCTCCGGATGCCTAGTGGAGGCTCAGCAGGTGGGTGAAGGGCCACAACTCCTCTGGCCCCGCCCCGCCCCATGAGTGTATCTGGGGACTTGTGAGGGCAGACCAAGCCCAGCCAGGGGATTCAGCTCAGGAACCACAAATAGGCACCACCATCTGAGCCCCTACTCACTCCTGAAGTCTCAAATGAAAGGTCATAAAACCAGTTTGTAAACTCCAAGCCAAGTGCATTTGGGTGTCCTGCATTGTGTTATGCTTTGCCTTGGGCATAATCTTTACACAGGCACAATCCTGATAACTAGACCTGCCCTCTTAAGCACCTCCTGGAGACTACGTACCTCCAAGGCTGGGTGAGAACAGCAGCTCAGATCCTCTGTGAATGCAATTCACTGCCCCTGAGTCACAAACAGCTTAGAGATGACCCTCTATGGAGTTTGTGAGGCTGTAAATCCAATGAGAGGAGATTTCCCAACTATCTTCTTAGCCCAACTGCTAAACTAGAACCACTAGAAGCTCGGCCTTTGGATTAGCTCTACTCCTCACAGACTAGATCATCAGAGCTTCTCAGATCAGGGAGTTCTGATGGCCTAGGTCACAGGAGATGCGCTGCTAACTTCCAAGTGGCCAGATGAAATCCACCAGTGGTTCCACAGCAGAGATAAAGGCAACCTCCTCCCAGGCAGTTAGTGACTCTCAAAGACTCTATTTGTAGATTTAACCTATGTTTCTACTCATTCCATTTTCACTTGGTTTAAAGGCATGATATATTGTTAAGTGCAGTTGAGGTGACTAAGACTTAATAGCAACACTGCGAAGAACTGATCTGAGCCTTATGCCATCCGCATCATCTTGACAACTTTCAGCCCACTGACACTGTGACAATCCTTTTTGTTGAGAATCCCTTTTCTTTCTTGGAACCTCCACTTTCCCCAGCATGATGTCTTTTTCCCAGGACTCCTAACATGCTCAAAGTGTGTGAAGCAAAGTTTCACTATCCCTGACTCTACAGAACACCCTGGCTGCAATTCCAGCAAGACACACTTGATTGTTTTCTTTATTGTCATGGAATATTCAATATGCTTCTCCAACAACACAATTCAAAGGAATCAAGTCTTTGGTCATCCTTGTTCATTGCCGAACTATCAGATATATAAGAAGTAACTGAAAAAACATGGCTAAGATCAGGCCCATCTCTTTACACTGACATCATTGCTCTCCAGCTCTTTGGAGAGGTCTTTAGAGCAGATTTCCCCAATGCAACATATCTTTTGATTTCTTGACTAAGGGTGCCAAGGGTGTTGATTATGAATCCAAGTAAAATTAAGTCGTTGACAACTTTACTCTTATCTCCATTTCTTATGTTGTTGACTCTTGGTCTAGAGAAGACTGTTGTTTTCTTGATGTTGAGAAGTAATCCATATTGAAGACTGCAGTTGTTGCTCTTCAGCAGCATGTGTTTCTTCATTTTCTGCAAGTGAGGTTGTATCACATGCATAACACCAGTTGTCAGTGGGTCTTCCTCTAATCCTAAAGCCACATTCTTCTTCTGATAGTCCGGTTTCTCAAATTATTTGCTCAGCATCCAGATAGAATAGGATACAACTCTGATATACATATTTCTTGATTTTAAGCTATGAGTACTCCCTTGTTCTGTTCTGACAACAGCTTCTTGGTTTCGGTATTGGTTTTAGATAAGCACAATGAAGTGTTACAGGTTTCAAATTCTTTATAATGTTAGCCATAATTTGTTATTATCCACACAGTCAAATTCCTTTGCATAGTCAATAAAACACAAACAAAAAAATTCTTGGTATTCTCTGCTTTCAGGTAGGATCCATCTAAAATTAACAATGATATCTTTAATGTCATAGCCTCTTCTGAATTGAACTTGACTTTCTGGAAGTTCCTTGTCAATGTACTTACCATTCCAGATGTTTCCAATAATTTCAGCAAGATTTCACTTGCATGTGATATAGGTATGAGGGCCAAAAATAACTTGTCCTTTAGAGGATGAGAGGAGTCCTGTGTGAAGGAGCTGAGGGAAGGCCTGTGTGTAGGTCTAAGAGGAGGCCTGTCTGAGGGCTGAGAGGAGGCCTGTGTGAAGGGGCTGAGAGGAACTGAGAGAGCTGTGCTGTACTGAGAGTTGGAGTTACCTACATGCTTCCTAGAAGACAGGGCTGAATGGGCTGGCCACATACTTACCCCATCCTCAGAGGTGGCTGACTGTAGAAGGGAGGAGATACTGCTCTGCAGAAGCTGCAACAAGAGTGAATCCAGCTGTTAAAAGCTAGACTGACCATCAGTGAAAAGTTTTCATGCAAAAATAGTCATGTTCTCAACCCAGGAGGTTAAGTCTGGAACCAGCTGTCTTCTTTCCCAGACCATGAGCCAAGTTTATTATGGACAGGACCAGTCCCTCTGTTCCAGGGACTCTCCTTAGAGTTGGAATGAGGGCTGTGGTTTTCAGATGGTGGGTGTGGAGGAGTGAGCATATGGTCAGTGTGCTGAACCCTACCGTGCCCATCTCATGTCCATATGGGAGGTGTGAAGAAGTAAGCAAAAGGCACAAGGGCTGTCTCCTACCTTGACCTTCACAGAACACCCCAATCTTGAGGGACAGTTCAGATAGACCTGTAGGTGCCTTCTGAGAACAGGTGATGTGACCACTCGGGTGCATCTGCTGCAGTAGAAGGTTCCTCCTCTGTAGCAAGAACCAGACAGGGCACAGTCAAAGGGATCCCTACAGTAAACAGACTCTCTTTCAAACATCAGCTACTAAGACCGAAAAGGAGTTTTGCTTTCCAAAATCATGTTGCTGAGGAGATCAGGAATAGCCCTGTATTTTCAGGTTCTATGGGACAAACCATCTCTTGCACCATTCTCTCACTGGCTCCAACAAGAGGCTTCCAGCCCACTCTCACCACTGACCAGTCTATGAATTTAGAGAGAGAGGACAATAGTTATAGTACAGGGTTAGGATCTTTTGTTATAGGGTCACTACTCAATGACACTTAACAATAATATATAAAGCCAGGCTCTTGTCTCCATTCTGGAGTTGTGTGAAGTGGTTAGGCTCTGTAAAATGGTGCTTTTGTTTGGGTTGAGAATCTGCATGGATTTTGTGGTTGTTTTTTTATTTAAGCCTCTTGTTTAACGTCAATAAGACCTCCTGGAGGGCCCTTATATTTAAAAGTTGGGCCCGTGGGATTATCTTTTAATCCATTGTTACTATATTTTGGAGGAACATTCTTCTAAATCATACAGCAGTCTTCTATCAATTTGCTGTGCTAAGGTAATCTTGGTTTGCTGTGATACTGAACCTTGTGCCATTGGAGTCTCAAATGCAATAGTGAAATAACTGTGCCATAAGTGTGCCAAACACCATAAAAGCTACCAATCGAGGGCAGTATTTGATGGAACTCCCAGAATGATTAAGGTTTGGAAGCAGCAGTGGCAACCAATTCCTAAACCACATGCCTCTGGGCCTCTGGAAACACTATTAACTTGGAGAAATGATAATAGTTATAGAAAGGTTTCAAGCCTTTTGTTCAAATATATATGGAGGGCCCTTGGATTTAAAAGTCAGTTGGGGTCTCAGTCTCCGCTTCTGAGGCTCTCACCACCGCTGCCTGCTTCTTGGTCGCCATGGAAGAAGAGATCGCAGCCATGGTCACGGACAACGGCTCCAGCATGTGCAAGGCCGGCTTCGCAGGCGACGACGCACCCTCCCCACCCCGTGTGGTCTTCCCGTCAATCGTGGGGTGCCCCTGGCACTAGGGCAGGATGGTGGGCATGGGCCAGAAGGACTTGAACATGAGCAGTGAGGCCTACAACTAGCGGGGCATTCTGACACTCAAGTACCGGATCGAGCAGGGCATCGGTCACCAGCTCGGAAGACATGGAGAAGAGCCGGCACCACACCTTCTACAACGAGCTGTGTGTGGCCCCTGAGGAGCACCCGGTGCTCTGACCAAGGCGCCTCGGAACCCCAAGGCTAACTGGGAGAAGATGACCCAGATCATGTTCTAGACCTTCAACACACCCGCCACGTACGTGGCCATCCAGGCCGTGCTGGCGCTGTACGCTGCAGGCCGCACCACATGCATCATCATGGAGTCTGAGGATGGGGTCACCCACACGGTGCCCACCTATGAGGGCTGTGCGCTGCCCCACATCATCCTGAACCTGGATTTGGGGGGCTGCGACCTGACCTCACGAAGATCCGAGCACGGCTACAGCTTCATCACCACGGCTGAGCGCAAGATCAAGGAGAAGCTGTGCTATGTGGTGCTGGACTTCAAGCAGGAGATGGCCACCGCTGCCGCCTCGTCCTCGCTGGAGAAGAGCTACCAGCTGCCCGCGGGCCAGGTCATCACCATCGGCTCTTCCAGCCGTCCTTCTTGGATGGAGTCGTGCGGCATCCACAAGACCACCTTCAGCTCCATCATGAAGTGTGACGTGGACATCAGGAAGGACCTCGACGCCAACACCGTGCTGTAGGGCGGACCACCATGGACCCAGGCATCGCCGACAGGATGCAGGAGATCACGGCGCTGGCGCCCAGCACCATGAAGATCAAGATCATCACTCCCCCTGAACACAAGTCTCCGTGTGGATCAGCGGCTCCACCCTGGCCTCGCTGGCCACCTTCCGGCAGATGTGGATCAGCAAACAGGAGTACGACGAGTCGGGCCCCTCCATCATCCTCTGCAAATGTTTCTAAAGAACTGCCGGCAGGTGCCCGCCTGCATGAGCTCCTCCGAGGGCAGCCACCCCGCACACCTCATGCTAACCTCTGAAACTGGAAGAAGTCTTTGAAAAGAATTGTCCTTGAAGCCTGTATCTCGAAATCAGCACTGGAGCTAGACCTTGTTACTGATCGGACCATGTATCACTAGACCTTGTTACTGATCGGACCATGCATCACTAGACCTTGTTACTGATCGGACCATGCATCACTAGACCTTGTTGCTGATCGGACCATGTATCACGTTGCCTGTTCCCTCGGTCTATGTGTAATACCGTGTACATATCTTTGATTTCAACCCTTCGCTCTTGTGACCTGGCCACTCGTGGCCAGAGTGCGGGATGACACAGCGTGGAGAAGGGTGTTGACTCAGTGAGGACCCGCCTCCCCGACTTTGTGGTCTGCAGGGTATTCATGGCAGAGCTGACGGCTCCAGGACCCCCAGAGGCTGCAGGCTGGGAGCGGTGGTCTTGACCACTGGCCTCACCTCACGGGGTTGGAAAAATCTGAGCCTTAGGACCCGATTTCCTTTCTTAGCCGTTTCCCGCCAGATCGCAGTGAGTGTTACTTGCCTTGAGTTGGAAGATGGTTTACATTGAAACCTGTAACTTGTTTTCATCCTCTTAATTTATGTAAGATTTTTGTATGCAATTCTCAAATCTACAGATGACAAATTTTGGTTTTTCTACTGTCATGTGCAAGTATTAGGCCCCAGCAACACCGCCTCGTGTAAGAATAAGTGCTGCAGTCAAGAAAAAAAAGTCGGTTGGGCCCGAGGGTCCAGTGTTCTTTTTGGAAGAACATTCTTCTAAGTTGTGCAGCACTCCTGTCAATTTGCTGCACTGAGATAATGTGGGTTTGCTGTAAAGCTGAACCTTGTGCCATTGAGGGGGGTTGTCAAGTGCCATAATAGCTGCCCATGGTGGACAGTATTTGGTGGAACTCCCAGCTGAAGACAGGTTTGGAAGAAGGAGTGACATCCAATTCCTAAACAACATGCCTCTGGAAACTCTATGACTTGGAGAAATGACGAGAGTTATAGAAAAGCTTCAGGACTTTTGTTCACAGGGTTGCTCAACTCGATGGCAATCAGTAACAACAACAACATGGGACAAACAAAGATCCTTTGTAGTGTAGAGGAATGAGAATTGGGCTGCTAACTCAGCAGCCTACTCCACCAGAGAGACAAAGAAGTATGTTCCCATAAAGATTTACAGTCCCAGAAATCAAGGGAGTCCTGCGGGGTTGCTAAGAATCAGAATCAACTCTACAGCAGTGGGCTGTAGAACAAATGTTAGTGGAAGATTTCCAAGGCAGAAGGACAGATAACCAAGTGAGAGTACCTCAGGGCTCCCCACCTGTGGGAAAGGAAACTTTATTTATAATTACAAGTCTCCATGCTCCTAACTGGCTACCAAGTAAATTCATGAATGAATGAATGAATGAATGAATAAATAAATAAATAAATAAATAAATAAATAAATAAAATATAATATGTTGTTGTTGCTGTTGTTGATTGCCTTCGAGTTAAGCATGACTCATAATAACCCAATAAACAAAAGGCCTGAAGCCCCTCTACAACTATCAACACTTATAAGCCCCTCTACAACTATCAACACTTATCAAAGTGCACAGTTTCCAGAGGCATGTTATTTAGGAAGTGGATGCCACTCCTGTTTCCAAACCTGTCATAGTATGTTATTGTTTTTATGTGCCACTGAGTCACCTGCAATGTATAGCGACCCTATGTATAGCAGCTCTGAACCCTTCTCTCTTCAACACACACCAACCCCCATCCCCCCAGTTACTGTATTAATCCATCTCATCCAGGGTTTTCCTCTCCTGTACTGTCCATCCACCCTTCCAAGTATGATGTCCTTCTCCAAGGACTCATCTCTCTTGGCCACATGCCAAAAATGAGGCAGAGCTTCAAAATCTTACCCTTCATGGAAAGACTTGGTTTCACCCACTCCAAGACAGACCTATTTGTTTTCTTAACGCTCCATGGTATGTTGAAGACTCTTCTTCACCATCACAACTTGAAGGCATCTATTCTTCTTCTGTCATTCTTAGTCATTGTCCAACTTTCTGAAGCATAATAAGTAATTGAGAAGATCATGGCCTGGATTAGGCGCACCTTTATAACTAGACTGACATTGTTGCTCTTCAGCACTCTGGAGAGGTCCATGACAGCAGATTTTCCCCAATGTAATTTGTCTTTTAATTTTCTGGCTGCTGGTATCAAGAGTGTTGATTGTAGAGCCAAGCAAACTGAAGCTGTTAACAATCTCAATTTCTTCACCAAACACCTGATTGTGCTTATGTGAAAACTATACTTGGACCAAGAGGCAGTCATCAGAACAGAGCAAAAAAACACTGCAAGGTTCAAAATCAGGAAGTAAAGTTTAGCAATGACTTAATACACAGAGGCACCAATTGTGGTAGAGGTGGGGGTGCATGTCATTGGTTCTTTGCTCTTGGAGAGTGAGAAAAGTAATGAACTTGGTGCTTCTGTCTGTTACATGAAAAAGTCACCATGAGGGCTAAGAGAATGACTCAGAAGAGAATGTAGTGCCTCTGCTTCCCAGTCCCAGACCAGTGGTCAAGGTGTAGGCATGCTGAGTGAGGTTGGGCAGGGAAGGAATGGCTGTTATCACACTACTGGCTGAAGAAGTCTTCATCACTTTCAAAATACTGAGCTCTTCTTTTGTCCCGAGTTTTTCTTTAGTCTTTTGATTGATAATAAAGAACAGAACTTGAAATTAAAAAAAACCAAACAAACAAAACCAAACCCCAAACCAACAAAACAACTCAAAGCATTATTTTCTAAGATAGGAGCTGATACAATAAATGCAGGGACCCCACTTGGGCAGGAAGCTCACACATACTGCCCTGGGTGGTGGCTGCTGCTCTTGCAGTATATGTGGCCTGTTCTTAGGCCAGGCCTGCTCCTCACAGCCTCTGGTCCTGGGCACCTGGGGTACCCAGCCTGTGTGAGCTGCAGAGGTAGGGGCAGGCACTGTGCTTGTGGCCTATGCCATGGGGTCTTCTGGTTGAAACTCTCCACCTTGGTCTGCCCCTCTTACCTGTGTTCTGGGCTCTGCTCCAATTCTCCATTGCCACAGTGGTCACAAGCAGGCCATGAAAAAGCAGTGCTCTTGTCCACACTGGCCACAGTGCCTGGGGCAAGTGAAGAAAGCCAGAGTCTCAGTGCCCTGCTGGGCTGGGAGAAGGGGTGTTCTTGTCCCCCACTGCATCTCTGCTCATCAGAAGACAGACAGTGAGGGGCCTTTAATTTTCCCTACTTAAATGATATAGAAATGTTTCATAGCTTTATATACTTTTCATGTATGTACAAATAAAACTATAAAAATAATGAAAAAGAAAGTTTAACAGTTAACTACAATATCGCTTAAATATCAGCAGTGAAAAACCAGATGAAATTCTGACTGTGGAACAGATCATCAATTACTCATGTACAAGTTCAAATTCAAGCTGAAGAAAATCCAAACAAGTTCATAAGAACAAAAATATAACCTGAGTCTATCACACCTGAATTTAAAAGTCATCTCAAGACTATGTTAGAGGCATTGAAAGACTAATGAAAGAATACCAGATGAGGTGAGGGATAACATGAAGGACATCTATGAAGAAAGTAGAAAGTCATTACAAAGTCAGAGGAAAAAGAAAGAACAAAATAGATGTCAAAAGACACTGAAAATCATACTAGAATGCCAAGAAGCCAAAACAAACAGAAAAGATGCTAAAATAAAAGAGATGAACAAAAGATCACAAAAGGCAGTTCGGGGAAAACAAAGGAAAATGTTAAAATGAAATGTGCAAAGAGTTGGAGTTAGAAAATAAAAAAGGAAAACACGTGACATTTCTCAAGCTGGAAAAATGGAAAAACATATTTCAGTCTTGAGTTGAAACACTAATGAATGTACTATAGGCATAATCTTGAATGCTTCAGGAAGCCTCAAAGAAAGATGGAAAGAATACAGAGGGAGTGTTCAAAAAAGAACTGGCCAATATAGAACCATTTCACTAAGTAGAATGTGAACCACTATTACTGGTAATGAAGGAACAAGTTCAAGCTGCATTGAAGAAATTGGCAAAAAACAAGGTTCCAGGAATTGATGGAATACCAATTGACCTGTTTCAACAAACAGATGCTGCCCTCAATGTGTTCACTAAATTGTGGCATGAAATTAGCCAGTCAGTTATCTGGCCAACTGACTGGAAGAGATCCATATATGTTCCCACTCCAAAAAATATGATTCAACAAAATTTGGAAATTACTAAACAACATCATTAATATCAAAACACAAGTAAAATCTGGCTGAAGATTGTTGTGGGCACCTCGATGGCACACAACAACAACACAGCACCTGGGATATTACTGCTGATGTCAGATGGATCCTGGCTGAAAGAAGAGAACATCAGAATGATGCCTATTTGTGTCTCATTAACTATGCAAAGGCACTTGACTGTGTGGATCATAACAAATTATGACTCACATTGAAAAGAATGGGAATCCCAGAACACACTTAATTGTGCTCATGTGAAACCTATACGTAGACCAAGAAGTTGTTTTATAAACATAGTAAGGGAACACTGCACAGTTTAGTATCAATAAAGCCATGCATCAGATCTGTATCTTTCCCCCCATACCTATTTAATCAGTTTGTTGTTGTTATGTGCCATCGAGTCGCCTGCAACTCATAGCAGACCCTATGTACAATAGCCCTAAACCCTGCTCTATCCTGTGCTAATCTCACTGTCTCTGACACACCTGCCCCCAATCCACCTCATAGAGGATCTTATTCTTCTCCGCTGTCCCTCCACTCTCCCAAACATGACATCCTTCTCCAAGGATTGGTCCCTCCTTGAAACACGTCCAAAGTATGTCAGATGAAGCTTCAGAATAGACTGAGCAAATAAGTAGAGAAGCTGGACTTTATAAAGAGGAATATGGCATCAGAATTGGAGAAAATCTTATCAACAATCTGAATTATGCACATGACACAACCTTGCTTGCTGAAAGTGAAGAGGACTTGAAATGCTTAGTGCTTAACATCAAAGAAAACAACCTTCAAAACAGATTTCATCTCAACATCAAAAAACCAAAATCTTCACCACTGGACCAACAGGCAATATCATGATGTTACTATTGTTGTTAGGTGCTGTCAAGTCAAGTACGACTGACAACAATCCTATGAACAGCCGATCTAAACCCTGCCCTATTCTGTACCATACTCATCATCTCTAACACACTACATCCCAATGCTGAAGCTACCATGTCATTCTCACAGTAGGTCTTCCTCTCCTTCACTGACCCTCCATTGCAAGAAGTACCATATGAACAAGGGAGTTTTCATGGTAGTGATAAGAACTTGCACTGCAATTCCAAAGGCACACAGCTCAAAATCACCTGCTGCTCCACGGGAGGATGGACAGTCTCCTCCCATGTGATCTGCTGTCTCTGAAAACCCACTGGATGGTCAGCTATGGGTTAGTTCTGACTTTATGGTTGTTGTTGTTATGTGTCACCGAGTTGCCTGCAACTCATAGTGACCCTATGTGCAACAGCCCTAAACCCTGCTCTATGCCAATCTTATTGTCTCTGACACACTTACCCCCATTACCCTAGTCCCTGAATCAATCCATCTCACTGAGAGTCTTCCTGTCCTGTGCTGTCCCTCAACCCTTCCAATGTGATATCCCTCTCCAAGGACTGGTCTCACCTTGTAACATGTCCAAAGTATGTCAGACAAAGCTTCAGAATCCTTGCCTCCAAGGAGCAGCCTTTTCTAACCCTCTCTAGGACAAACTTGTTTGTTCTCCTAGTAGTCCATTCAATATTCTTTGTATTTCATGAAATTTTTCAGTGTCAACTGATTGTTTTTGGTATAGCAATCGATGTATTCCTTCCATCTTCTTTCAATACTTCCTGGATCATACAAGATTTTACCAATAGCATCTCTCAGTATTGCAATTCTTGGTTTTAATTTGTTTTTAAATTATCTCAGCTTGGGAAATGCCAAATGAGTTCTTCCCTTTCTATTGTCTGACTGCAGCTCTTTGCCCATTTTGTTAAAATATTTTATCTTGTTGAGCTGCCCTTTGAAACTTTCTGTTTAGTTCTTTTACTTTGGTGTCTCTTCCTTTTGTTTGGCTTCTCAACATGCTAATGCTATTTTCATATATTCTGACATTAATTTTTTTCTCTTTTTCCTCCCCATTTTTAATGATCCTTTGCTCTTTTCATGAATGACATCTTTGATGCCCTCCCACAGTTTCTCTGGTCTTCAAATTATTGGTGTTCAATGCCTCAAATCTGGTCTTGAGATGGTTTTTAATTACAATGAGATAGACCTGAGATTGTATTATGGTTCCTGTGACTAGTTTTAATTTTCTTCAGCTTCAATAAAGACTTGTACATGAGTAACTAACTGATGGTCTGTTCCACAATCAACACCTGATCTGTTTTTTTATTGCTGATATTATGCTTCTCCAATGATTCTTTCCACAAATAGAATCAATCTGATTTCTGTGCAGTCCATCAGGTGAGATCCATGTGTAAAGTTTCCATTTGTGTGTTTTTTAACAAAAGTTATTTGCTATGAATAAATCATTGCTATTGTTTTTGGGAGCTACTGAGTTGTCACCCTATGACCTACAGATCTGAGCTCTATCCTATCTTGTGCCATCGTCACAATTTCTGACACACTCAAGCCCAATGTAGCAGTCACTGAGTCAATCCATCTGATTGAAGGGCTTCCTCTCTTTCACCACCTTTCACAAGCATGATGTCCCTCTCTAAGGAATAGCCTCTCTTAGTAACATGCCTGAAGTATGTGAAATGAAGTTTTATTATCGTTGCCTCCAAGAAACACTCTAGCTGCACTTTCTCCAAGACATATTTGTTCGTTCTCTGGCAGTCTATGTGATACTCAATACTCTTCTCCAAACGGCAGCTCAAAGACATCAATTCTTCTTGTCATCCTTATTCATTGTCCAGCTCTCAGAGACATACTAAGAGACTGAAAAGACCATGGCCTGAATGGTGCACCTAGTCTTCAAACTGTTATTACTGCTCCTCAATAATTTGGACAGGTTCCCAACTGCAGACTTTCCCAATGCAATATATCTCCTGATTTTCTGACTGCTAGTACCAAGGGTATTGATTGAGGATCTAAGCAAGAAGAAGTTGTTTACTTTTCCTCCATCTATCATGATGTTACCTTCATGCAGTGTCAATAATTTCTGTTTTCTTGATGTTGAGATGCAAGCCATATTGAAGGCTTTATTCTTTGATCGTCTGCAGTGTTTCAAGTCCTCACTTTCAGCAAACAAGGTTGTTATCATCTAAATAATGCAGGTTATTAAAAAGTCTTCCTTCAATCCTGATGCCACATTCTTCTTCATAAAGTCTGGCTCTTTAGGGAGCTCTAGTGGCCTAGTGGCAAGAAGCTGTACTACAATCCCAGAGGTACATGGTTCAAATCCACCAGATGCTCTGCCGGAGAAGGAGGGAAAATTTCCCTCCTGTACCAGTCAGATCTGATTTGACGGTACATGCACAATAAATAAATTTTTTTTAAAAAAAAGTCTGGCTCTTTAAAAACTTTGCTCAGCATACAGACCGAACTGATATGGAGAGAACATATAAGCCTGAAGCACACCAAATGGCAGCACCACGATAGAAGGAGAAGATATTGAGGTGGTTAACAATTTCAGCTTGCTCAGCTTCACAATCAACCATCTTGGCATCAGCAGTCAGGAAATCAAAAGAGGAGTGGAATTAGGGAAATATGCTGTCATGGACCTCTCCAAAGTGCTAAAGAGCAATGAGTCAGTCTAGAGACTAAGGTGCACCTGCTTCAGGCCATAGTCTTTGCAATTATTGCTATGCCTCAGGGAGCTAGACAGTGTCTAGGGATGACAGAATAAGAATCAATGTCTTTGAGTTGTGGGGTTGGAGAAGAGTATTGAATATACCCTGGATTACCAACAGAACAAACAAGTCTGTCCTGCAAAGAGTAAAACAAAGCTGCTCCTTGGAGGCAAGGATTTTGAAGCTCCGTCACACGTGGCTAGGAGCAACCAGTCCTTGGAGAAGGTCACCATGCTTGGAAGGGTGGAGTTTCAGAGCAAAAGAGGAAGACCTGGATGAA